ATATATATATAAAGATGATATACTTTTTTATATACACTTTAAAAAAAATTCTTTATAAATTACCTTCTAATCATCCTCATTTTTTATAAATAAATGCTCATTCCATAAAAAATAAAAAAAATTGGAGTGCCTTTTCTTTTACTAGTATGACATAATGTATAATGAGAGAATAAGAGAAATCATCCCATCCTGTTACTTCCAAATTTAGCTTTCCCCTCAGGATAAAAAAAATATACTAGAGAAATTAAAAATATAATAATAATAACTATGTTTCTGTGAACAAAATATAAAACTAAATATGTACAGTCATCTCAAAAGATAATATTCCCCTAGTGTCAGTCAAGCACAGACAAAACAACTACCTAAGTGATAACTCTGAAACGAAGACAATACTCCTCGTCTCGCAGTAGTCACCGCAACCATATCCGACCTAATCCTGACAGTATGATCATTGCAGTCCATCCACATGGAAACAGAAGGGTAAGCTAGAGTTCAATAAACAATCATACAAGTATAGAGTAATAATCTATACTACTCATTCATCCAATCATCATCACAACACAACCACACAGTCCATAATGACTCAACTATCAACTCATTCATACAACTTTATAGGCAATTTAAATGCAACAACACATGCAACATCAACTAATATGTCGTCATGCATATACAACTAGGAAATCTCCAACAACTGAGGTTGAGCAGTCTAGGTGGCATAAATTCTACCGAATCCAATGTTTGACCTATCTTAACTAGGTCAGGTATAGGGCATTGTTAGGAACTCCGAAGATAACCAGGTATAAACAACAAAAGGCGATTGCTTAGGTATGCCACTTAGACTCGAAGGTCCAATACTACTATTAGGATAGAAGGGTTTGGGTATGGGCCTACCACGACCTTGGCTTGCATCACCAATCCACATATGGAATTAGCCCACCCATTGCCCTCCAAGTACCACACACCCTTCAGTACCTAGTCAAAGACTACATCTTTAACTAGATACCTTACTCAAATTGGTCATTCAGCCATGACATGGATCAACTACTTCCATATCGCCCACACCGTACTATGGGATTCAACTTTTAAAACAACTTTTAACTTATCACCTTAATACAATGTATCTCAACACAGGACATATATCTTCACCATATGTCCCCAACTTTACAACTTTACAACTTTACAACAATAGACATCTTTACAACAATAAGCAATAGAATAACATCTTGAGTAAAATCTCAAATTCAACAACTTTAAACAACTAAACAATTTTAAGGCAACTTACAACTTAAAAGTATCTTTCAACATGTAGACATCACATACCAACTTGAAAATTTACTATACAACTATACAACTTTAACAACATGTGACAACTTAATTAACAACTACTCAACTTATCTTCATCAGGCAACTTAGCAACTTAACCAAATCATTAAGCATACTCACGCCCGGCATAGCCTTCTCGTGCTCGACGCCCTCAAGTCAGAGACTCTTAAGAATCTCCATGCCCGCCGCACCCATCATGCGCCCGACGCCAGCCAAACAGAGACCTCTAGAGGTCTTCATGCCTGACATGTACACCTTGGGCCCAGTGCCAAGTCAGACAGAGACCTCCAAGGGTCCCCATGCCCGGTGCATCAATTCTGCGCCCGGCGCCACATCAGTAAAACACCAAACGGGGCCACTATCTGATATCGCGCCCGGCGTGGCTCTCACACACCCGGCGCGATTCATCCAAAGATTCCCATTTCAAATCGTGCCCGGCGCGACTAACCTCGCGCTCGGCGTGATTTGTTAATGGAGGTCCCTGATGAATGCACGCCCAGTGCCAAGAACTGGGTTCGATGCAAGTTCAAACAGTAGCCTCCAAAAATTACGAAAATCCCTTCAAAAACTTGAAAATCAGCAACTTCAACCACATGCAATCCATGAAATGAAATACACAAGCTCCCTACAACTCAACAACGATCTCAGATTCAACATGCAACCATTCAAGGCATCAAATTCACCAAAAATCCCAATTCTTCCCGAAACCCCGAAAATGAGGAATCCTCCAATTCAACTACTTCTCCAAATTCATGCACCAATTGAGTTCCTAAACTCACATGCAATCAAACAACTTACATTCTAGCTTCCCTCACCTAAAGATTGGCTTCGAATAGCTAAGAATTTGAGAAGAAGAATAATTTCCCCCAAAGCTCTACCAGCGGAATTCAATCCTCCAAAAACTAGCTTTCTAGCATGAATTCCAAGAAAAAATAGAAGAAGTTAGTGATCTAGAGAATAAGAATAATTAACCAGAGAAATTTTGGAGAGAAAGGAGCTCACGGAACCAGAGTTCTTCTCTCTAAAACTTCTCTCTAGATTTTTTTTCAGAATGAGCTTATGAGACTCCCTTCTAAAAAAAATCTTATATACTCTTCTCTCTAGAGTCAGCTAAACTCTGATATCTACTTACTACGTTACATGAATATTCAATGAACTATCAATTTTCAATTTATAGTGGCTTTAAAATGTTAGTATGCATTTCTTTTTATGCTTATTTATGTGTAGTAAGGATCTTGTAAGAAATTTCACCTTTCGGGTAGGTATGCATTTGAAATTTCTAATATCACTTTTCCGACTCATTAGGAAACACTCTTTGGGTATTAATAAGTGAATATTGATTGAACTATCAATTTTCAGTTCATACTGACTTTAAAATGTTAGTATGCATTTTTTTTAATGTTTATTTATGTGTACTAAGGATCTCGTAAAAATTTTCACCTGTTCAAGTAGGTATGCATTTTAAATTTCTAATACTGCTTTCCCGACTTAATAGGAAACATTCTTTATGAAAAAATTTTATTGCTTGAAAATCAATTGAGTAATTGAAACTACTTATATTTAAGCTTATGTAGCAAACTCTAAATAATCTTTGTTTTCAACTTTAACATGTAAATAACGTTCTAATCAAACAATATTAATTGACACAAGGTGATGACGATTTGTAACTTTTAATCAAGATGTACATGATTCAAATTTTGACCTTAATTATATAATAAACTATATTGGAAGGAGAATTTATACTTTGTGTATGTGATGACAATGAGAAGAGGAGAAGGATGATCAATATACCTATATATTGGTTATTGGGAAAATAATTCAAATTTTCAAATTTAAATCTCTGAGATATTATTTAGATTTTAAAAGATATTGATTCTTTTAGGATATTGTTTAGAATTGAAATATATTGTATTTATTTTAGAGATTTGTTTCCTCTTTCAAGATTATGATGCAAGGTTAATAAATAGAGACTCTTGAGATGAAAAGAATTATCCAAATTGTAGAGAGTCACCACCTTAAATGAGAGAGGAGATTATATGAAGGAGAGTTTCCAAGTTTTACCAGAAAACTTGTGAAGGAGGATTTTCAAGTTTAGCCAGAATTTTGTAAGGGGGAAGGTTTTAAGTTTCACCTATAAAACTTGTGAGGAAGAGATTTTTAAGTTTCACCCACAAAACTTGAAGGGATGATTTTCAAGATATATGTAATACATCTTGAGATAGATAATGAACATCTTGGTGAACATAGGCATGAGAGACTAAACTAAATTAAATAAATTTGTGTAATTTTTTTTATTTCTTTGTTGCTCGTCTAATTCTTAACTTACTACCCTCCCATAGAAATGAGAGCCACAATTAAGTCCTTGTGTTAACTTCCTATTGGAGTAGTGATCATGTTTAGGTCTAGGATTTGATAGAAAAATGAAAATTCCCGTTCAAGCAATGCTTCCCCTTAAATTGCTTCAACAATTTATTGATATTTTCCATAACTAAGAATGCATTCATTTTATGAATTTTTTTTTACATAAAGCTTGATATTATGAATATATTGAAAGCATGTTTTCATATAATTCAAAGACATTTGAACTTTTTGTATTAGTAATTAATTTATGTAAAAGTTTGCAAATGAGGTAAGTTATTGATTAATATTAACCAATATATATATATACCTGCC